TTCTGTTATGGGAGACAATCCATCCGATTATTGGTTAATCACTTTGAGTTGCATTTTAAAACTTGCAGCTCCTCTGGCACCAGGTGCCGTCCTCTACACAGACTGGACTGAATCATCTTGACGGAGAAGTCAAGTACTGTATCTGAATCACAACCAGCACAGGGTCCTTTGGCCTCGTGCTATCAGTATTGAGTATTGGTAATCCACCTCCTGGAGAAGACCCAGGATCATCCAGGCAGACTGACTCACAGGAGAGACATTTGTCTCCTTGTACTTGTGCTTATGCACCCCTATTCCAAGCATCAGCCCTTAGTGCACACTTTTCATCATCCGATCATTAAATTTGTGGTAAACAGTGCCATACAAAAAAATAATTTTTTTTAAAAAAGTTGCAGCTTAGAAGATCATAAGTGATACACAGCAGGGTAAGTACATGGATCAAATACCCTGTTTCCCCAAAAATAAGACAGTGTCTTATACTAATTTTTGCTCCCAAAGATGCGCTAGGTCTTATTTTCAGGGGATGTCTTATTTTTCCATGAAGAAGAATACAATACACATTTATTGTTAAATGAAAATAAATTTATTACCTGTATACGGTATGGTAGTACGGTAGTTGTCAACACAAACCAGACAAACTGTGAATCCTATAGTATCAAGAATTTACTCATTTGTTCAATGACAATCATGTCATCATCTTCTGGAACATCATCATAACAATCCAATTCCTGAATTTCCTGGTGAATTTCTTGTGACTCCATTTCTTTCAGAATCAGTGGACCAAATCTCTCATGTTTAGCCCAGGGGGGCCTTATTTTCGGGAGGATGCCTTCTATTTCACTCAGAAGGAAACCTGTAAGTAGGTCTTATTTTCGGAGGATGTCTTATTTTCGGGGAAACACGGTACGTCTGCTGCCAAATCTGACCCAACAGCAGGCTCTTTACTACCCACGTGTTTCCCTGGTCTCTTGCATTAGCACTACTTCTCATGGAAGTTCTCCCTGCAATATTCAACCCACCCTCCTATTTCCATCATTAAGGCCTCAGAGAAGGCCCGAGCCATCTCTGTCCCACATCAAGCACCAGTGATTTCCTCAGTCACTTTACTAAACAAACTCAATTATGTCTGCACTGTGGTTGCCTATTTCTAGCAATGGTTCTTGCTACTGCCAGCTCTGAAACAGTTGCATTCAGCAGCCATCCTCCTCATCTCTACAAGATTATTTGATAGGAAGTTAGCTTTGTCTGATATTAACACATCCACCACCCCAGCTTTCTTTGATTCCTATTAGCATGGTATATCTTTATCTCTCTTTTATTTTTAACTTACGTGCTTATATTTAAAGTGGGTTGCTTTTATACAGCATATAGTTGGGGCTTGCTTTTATCTAACCTAACAATCTCTGCCTTTATTTGCAGTCACTTTGCAGTCAACTAACTGCTTTAAGAGGGTGGTGGGTGTGGTTTTGCACTTAGGAACTTTTTTTTTTTTTCCTGGCAAATTTAAAAAATAGTTGTCATTCCTGACATAGATTTACATGATGACAGAGAGGTTGGAAGTGTGGTAGTGCCCAGCAAGGATGCCTGGGGCATGAGATGGGGCACATGAGAGACAGTGAAAACTGCCACTAGACTTTTGCAATAGTTTAGCTGAACTTTGGGGTCCTCTGATGGAGATCCATTCTCCCGAAGGAAGAAACAGAAGTTGGTGATGAAATGGTTATAGTCCCCAAGATTCCTCCTTCTCGGGCTCCGGGTACGCCTTAGTCACCCTCTTTACTGAAATTATACAGAAGATAAAAAATAAAATAAAATAAAATAAAAAGTTCAGAGTGTCTGAGTTGGGAGCATTTCGTTCAGCCTTTTCTTAAGTGGTTGAAGGAAGTCAGAAAAGTGAAATACTATGCTCAGGTCATGCCCCTAAGCTCAGCAATTTTCAATACTGGTATGCTGCAAGAGGCACACTGGTATGCTGCAAGAGTTTTTAAAACACGCAATATTTGTCTAGTTAGTCAAGGGCACTGACCTCTTTTCCCTTAGACTATCAAATTAAAAAATTATGACAGCCAATACAATTGCTGTTCTGTGTGAACAAATCAAAACTCTACCTATTATTAATGTATCATATCAGCAAAAATGATATATTTTCTGGTGTGCCACAGAATTTTAGTAATTAGTTTATGTGTGTCAGGAGATGAAAAAGGTTGCAAATCGCTTCCCTAGCAAGTGGTAGAGCTTGGAGGAGAACCAAGTCTTTTCCGGATTCCTAGAAAGGGAATGTTACTGGTTTAACATTAACCTTTGTATTCTATTTTTTAAAAAGAAAAATATATAATTAACTTCTACTCTTTACTCACTCAAAGTTTAAGGTGGAAAAATAACAAGACAAACAAGGAAAATCCGTTAAGAACAGAATGAAACACCTAGATAGCAAAACAGACAAATTCACAGAGCAACTGGGACACACAGATAAGAGAACACAATGGAAGAAAGAGACAAAAAGAGTCAAGTTTTTCCAAGGAGTTGTTAGCCTCAACTTGTAGCCTTTTTGGAAATTGCCATGAAGGTTAGCATTTGAATCAGGAACTATAACTTACCCGGGTTTCAGGCTCAATCCCCATTATGGGGTGTGCAGGAGGCAGCCAATCAATGATTCTCCCTCATCATTGTTTCTCTCTCTCTCCCTCTCCCTTCCTCTCCGAAATCAATAAAAATAAAAAATAAAATAAAAAGATATGTAGGAACTGTCTTCTAACAGAAACCAGGAATGTGTGTGTCAAGGGAAAGGAATCCTATGTGTTAAAGTAAGAAATGTTCTAACCTGTAAAGAATTATTGTGAGTTTATTTGAGCCAAATTGTCAACAACTGCCAGGAAGCAGACCCTCAACATATTGAGATAATGCTCCAGAGAATGGCAGTTTTTCACCTAGTTTTATAAATTACCTTCAAAGGAAGAGACATAAGTGGGTTTACATGAAATCCATTGGTGGTAGATTAGGAAGGTGGGAGAAAGCAAAGTGGGGAAACCTCTGGAATTGGATAAAAAGTAAAATGGTAGACACATGCTTCTTTTACATATGTGGGTACAGGATAGTTAACAGTCAATAATTAACATCTGAACAATAACAATGTGGGAATTGTGGTCTCTCTCCGGGCACATTGGTTGTGCCCTGAGGGGTCCTGGAAAATATAAGCTACTATTTACCCTGACCTTCCAAAAGTATGTTAACATAGATGTAAAAAGACAATAGGCTCAGTTAAGATCAAAGTTGACCTTTGTCAGGGAAAGGACAGCCTAGGACAGCCTAGGACATGATCACTCAAATAAACTGCTTTTTTTTTAAGTGGAGGATTCTTTTAAAAAAATACACACACACACATTAATTATTAATTTATTTATTTATTTATTTTTTACAGAGCGGAAGGGAGAGGGATAGAAACATTGGTGACAGAGAAACACTGATCAGCTGCCTTCTGCACATCCCCTACTAGGGATCAAGCCTGAAATCAAGGTACATGCCCTTGACTGGAATCGAACCCGGGACCAACACTCTATCCACTGAGCCAAACCAGTTAGGGCTAAACTGCTTTTTAATTTTAAGACCATCCTTTGTGGTTACTTTAGGTCTCTGAGTTTGCAAGGCTGCCATTAAGGCCTTCCCTGAGTTAGTCAGGTTATCATGTGGCCCCTTTCCGTCCACGTATGTCTGAAGGTTGTGAAGTGATCCATCTGAGGAAGGAATAGGGAGGTGGAGAGATTCAGGCCTGCTATACCAGGCTGGATTCTAGTTCCCAGAGCTAACTTTGCAGAAGTCCCTACTCCTTGTTTAAAGGGTACCTGCCTAATGTAAGGAGCACTTTCCACAGTTACTATTTCACTTTAATCCTAGTATCTCAAGGAGAGAAGAGAGGTTTTACCCAAGGCGGGGTGTGTGTGTGTGTGTGTGTGTGTGTGTGTGTGTGTGTGTGTGTGTTAATATTAAGTAAACAACTAATGCAAGAGTGGGCACAGATCTATAAATCCAAAATAGTGAAAACACTAACCACGCTGTGAAGACAGACTCACCTAGCCGGTTTGGCTCAGTGTCTGCCTGCCAACTGAAGGGTTCAATTCCCATCATGGGCACATACCTGGGTTGCAGGCTCAATGCCCAGGCCCTGGCCAGGCGTGTGCAGGAAACAACCAATCACAGATACATGGATGTTTCTCTCTTGTCTCACCCCCTCCCTTCCACACGCTCTTTAAAAAAAAAAAAAAAAAAAAAAAAAAAAAGCCTGGCCTCCTAGCTCAGTGATTGAGCGTGGAACTCTGAACCAGGAGATTCCAGCTGGATTCCGGGTCTGCGCACATGGTGAGTTTGGGGCTCCATCCCCTCAGTAGGGGGCGTGATCCCCTCAGTAGGGGGCGTGCAGGAGGCAGCCGATCAAAGACTCTCATCATTGATGTTTCTATTTCTCCCTCCCTTCCTCTCTCTGAAATCAATAAAAACATTTTTTTTAATCAATGGGGTAAAATATACTCGTGTGAGGACTTAGATTAACTGTGGGGGGGAAAAAGAAGATTACCTCAAAACCAGGATGTGGGGAGCCCTGGCTTTTCCTACCTCACAGGCCTCAGGGGCCTGACTGACCTTTGGGGACTGGTTAAGAAAGGGGCTTATAGACTTCATTTCCCATTTCAAATCGGAAATAGGTTTCCGGTGACACGGCCTACCTACAGCACCGCTGGGGGGTTTGCTCCTCGCTAAATCCAGGTACCTCACGGGGTACTGGCAGCGTCATTGGAGCAGCTCAGCCCCCGCCGGGCTCCTCCATGGTTTTCCGCCCCGACCGGAAGTGGGGCGGAGCCTCTCGTATGTCCCTCCTGATTGGTCCGCGCCGCTGTCACTCAGCGCCTGGAGGGAAAGGGCTGGGCCGAGCTCCCCAGAAGTCCCCTGAGCGGCGGCGGGGCTGAGGCGCGGCAGCGGAAGCTGCGGGCGCCCGAGCTGCAGCGGGTGCCATGGAGTCCGAAGCCTCGCTGTCCCCCACGCTCTCCCGCTCCATCAAGGAGGAGCTGCTCTGCGCCGTCTGCTACGACCCCTTCCGGGATGCCGTGACGCTGCGCTGCGGCCACAACTTCTGCCGCGAGTGCGTGACCCGCTGCTGGGAGGTGCAGACGACGCCCACCTGCCCGGTGTGCAAGGACCGGGTGGCGCCCGCCGACCTGCGCACCAACCACACCCTCAACAACCTGGTGGAGAAGCTGCTGCGCGAGGATGGCGAGGGCGGGCGCTATGGAGGCCAGCGCTCCCCGCGCTTCTGCCGCACGCACCGCGGCCAGCTCACCCTCTTCTGCATCGAGGACAAGGAGCTGCTGTGCTGCTCGTGCCAGGCCGACCCCCGGCACCTGGGGCACCGCGTGCAGGCGGTGAAGGACACTGCCCACGACTTTCGGGTAAGCGCGGCTGCGTGTGTGAGGGAGGCGGGCGGCGGCCCTGTCAGGGCTGAACCCCAGCCCCCCGGTCCCGCCGCTCCCGCCACCACAGCCTGCCGGAGTCGAATGCGCCCAGCCCGCCCCTCATCCTGCAGCCAGCTTGCAGCCAGCTTGCTCGTGTCGCCTCAGAACCCACCCCTGGGTGACTCCAGTAACCTAGAGAGACGCCATTTCAAAAAAAAAAAAAAAAAAAAAAAATTCTGAGAGGAAGGAGGAGGGAGAGCCAGAAACAACCATAATGAGAATGGTGGATAGGCTACCACCTGCAAGCCCCCTATTGGGGAGCAAGCCCACAACCAGGGCCTGTGCCCTGAGGGGGGAATCTAACGGTGAGGTGATCTCCTGGTTCCTAGGTCTGGGGTCTGGGCTCAACCACTGAGCCACACGGGCGGGGCTAGAGGCTGCCTTTCCCTCCCTCTCTTACTCCCACCCCCACCCCCATCAAAGCCGGTGCACGGGGGCCTGAGGTGGGAGAAGAGAGGCAGACAGGAAGTGTGTGCACTGGGCTTACACGAAGGTCTGGAGATAGCCCCAACCCATGTAGTAGGCCATGCACCCTTTCTGCCATCCGGGTGTGGTCCGTGCCTCTTTGAGAAGCACAGATGTGGATAAAGCGCAGGAAACCTGAAAGGAACGCATATGCCAGGTTAGAGGTGCAGGAGCCCAAGGCCTGGCCGTGGATATGGAGCTGTGAGAGCCTCAGTATTGGTCACCCGCTTCCCCAGCTGGCCCATCTATTGTGTAGCTGAGGGGAGGCCTCTGGCCCTGGCCAGCTGGCTTATTCTGGATCAGCATCCCAATGCCTAGAGTGCCAGTGGCTATAAATACAGGAGCAACGTACAGGGCAAAACTAACATGGAGAATATTTTTGTGTCGCAAGGGAAAACGATCAGAAAATAAGGATTAGCCAACTCAGTTTTCAATTTTTTTTTAATTTTTTTACCTCAGCCCATAATGAGAAATAGTTTCTCCATTATGACCCAGAATACTCATGTATGTACCAGTTGAAACAAAAATTCTGTGAAAATGATCATTGTACACTGGCATTTTATGTTGTATGTTTGTTTATTGTTTTATTATTTTTTAAAGAATTGTGCACGGTGAGAAACGCTCATTTATTTCGTCACCTATAATACATGGGTTAGGCCCACAGTATGGAGAGAACACCAGTTAGATGGTAGGAAAGCTGAATGTATTGAAAAGGAGGTGCTGCAAGAATCCCTTACTGCCTGGTTTACAGACGCTTTTAATTAGTTGGTTTTAATGACTTCCTTAAGAAATGTCAAAAGTTGATTATTAAACATTGAGATATGTAAAAATTCATACACATTTTGACAAAGTTCGAGTGAAGGGGAATGTTATCAGTATGCATTGAACACTAATGTGGCTGGCTGCTACCTTATTTGTTTAACAACAGTGCTTGCTTTCTCCCATTTCCACGGGCGTAGGTGCCAGGGCCTGATTTGGGGCAGCTAAAGTAAGTGCTGAGCAGTCTGGGGCTGGGGTGGAGGTATAGGATCAAGTCATGAGTAATCACTATGGGGCTGGCAGAGGTACAAATCAGGAAGAGGGTCAAGGCAAAGGGTACCGAGGTAAAACCCCCAGGTCTGGACTAAGCCAGATTCAAGATCAGTGAGCCAGACACCAGGAAGTATATATGATCTAATGACAACTTTCTATTTATTCAGCAGATGCCTTGGGGACAATACAGGACACAAGATAATTACCTTGTATCTTCTAGGAGCTTCAAGCAGAGACCAGAGGAATAAGGAAGTGTTAGCCAGGTGAAGAGGGTAAGGGACGGGCAGCAGCAATGTGTAAGGGTCCAGAGCAGGGAGGCCTTCCTTTCCAAGACTGAAAGCATTACAGAGTAATTAGAATGAGGGTGGAGATACAGAAGGAACCAGGAGGCCCTGAGCCTTGGCATTTATCCTACAGACTATAGGAAGCAGTCTGAGGGCTTTAAGCAGAGGAAGGATGCTGTCAGATCCATGGGCACCTCAGGGCAGTGTCTGAGGGGGTAGAGTGTCCAGTCCTGAAAGATCTAAGGAATGTGCAAGCTAAGTGAGCTCAGCCTCGTGCAGGGTGGAGCTCATTCGTGTCTTAAGACAACTGTGTACTAAGGGCCTGTTGTGTGTTCCAGGGCCTCTTCCGGGTGTTGATGCTGTGGAGTTCACTAAGGCAGAGATCTCGCTCCATGGAGTCTGTTTGCAGTGGGGAAAGACAGACAGTAAATAGACAAATTGTAGTTCTGGATGGTTGAGGTGGGCGGGTGGTGGTTGTCAGGGAGCAGTCTAGGAAGGCTGGAGAGGTCTGGCACTGAGGGGGTCTTTCCTGAGAGCTTTTACATAGGCATTTTGTGACGAAACGTGTGCTTTAGAAAGATCACGTTGACACCCATATGAAGAATTCAGCAAAAATCATATCAGCCAACATTGTGAGCATTTACTGTGTGCCGGGTGCTCTGAAGTGTCTGCCTGTCAGCAGTTTTCATCCTCACAAAACCCTATGAGGTTGTGTATTAACATCCTGTTGCTGCTGTAGTAAATTGCCACAAACGTTGTGTTTAACACAGCGCAGACTTATTATCTTACAAGTCTGGAGGTCAGAAGTGCTAAAGTCAAGGTGCTGGCAGGACTCCATGCCTTGTGGAGGCAAGGAGAGGATTTCTCTCCCTGCCTTGTCCAGCTTTTAGAGGCCCCTCCTCCATCATTAAAGCCCATCGTTCTAACTCCTGGTTCTTGTCCCATTACCTTCCTAACTAACTCTGCTACCTCCATCTTCTAAGGACCCCTTGTAATTCTATGGGGCCCACGCAGATAGTCCAGGATAATCACCCTATCTTAAAAATCTGTAATTTAATCACATCTATGAAGTCCTCTTTGCCCTATAAGGCAACATCCTCGCAAGTTCCAGGATTGGGATTCGCAGCTCATTTTAGAGTCAGAGACACTGAGTCTCAGACACGTTAAGTAGCCTGTCCAAAGTCACAGAGGGGATACTATGGAATTGTCCTGGGCCTTGTTCAGCCCTTACTCTGGTCATGGGCTTTCAGAGAAGCTTCTCTGGTCTACGGGTAAAACTTTCCCCTCTGGGCCTCTGTTTCCGGAGCTATGAAGGCAGTTGACTATGTGGGAATTTAGAGTGTCAGTGGGCTGACGGCCTACTCTGTCCAGGCACGGTGTGTCCACTAGAAGACAGGGCAAGGAGTCCTAACCCCTGCCTTCTTGGAGTCCGAGAAGCATGACTGAATAATCACGCTAACAGTTACATGGTTTCAGACTGTGACATTCCTATCGCTTCTTCTAGGCCTTTTGGCTAAGATCAAGTACAGTATCAGACTGTGACATTCCTGTGCAGGACAGTAGGATGTGTGGGCCGTTGTTACAAGGAGGCCTGCTCTTATCTGATGGGCATGGGGAGAAGTTTCTGAGGAAAGGACTGATGGACTCTCAGAATATGACATTGTTTAAATCAGAGCTTTGAAGTGTGTGTTGGATCTTGAGGGGACCTTACAAAATCCTCTAGTATTTGTACACCTTTTTTAAAAAATATATATATATTTTTTTTTTTATTGATTAGAAAGGAAGGGAGAGGGAGCCAGAGAGAGAGAGAGAGAGAGAGAAACGTCAATGATGAAAGAGAATCATTGATTGGCTGCCTCCTGTACGCCCCCCTACTGGGAATCAAGCCCGAAACCAGGCATATGCCCTTGACTGGAATTGAACCCGGTACCCTTCAGTCCACAGACTGACGCTTTATCCACTGAGCCAAACCAGCTAGGGCTATACACGTTCTTCTTAAAAGAACAAATATTCCAATAGTGTATCTTAAATTATTATTCCTTACCTACAAGCTACTCAAAACTAGTGTGAATTCCTCTTGCTTATACCACATAAAGATAATAAAACCAAAAGAAATTTATAGATTAAATACAAATAAAACTAAAGTCAATACAGTCCTAGTTAAAATATTAATTACAGGGTTTTATTTTGTTGGAACTAAAATGCTGTTTCTGGGTGGTTGTAAAGCCCCTTTTCCCTGTTAACAAAATGATGACTTGATTCGCCAACCAAAACTTCCCTTTTTGCAGAATGAAACTTTCCTGGGATATAACTGTCCTTGTGTGGGTCTAACATATCCTTCACCTGTAAAGTGAATTCTGTTCTTTATTAAGCCAAGACAATGTAAGAGTATAGCCTGGTGTCAAGGAAGTTGTTAAGAAAATACAAATGCTGGCACTGAAGTTAATGGGAACCGAAAGTGTGCGTCAGCACAGCTTATCTTGGTGTGTTTTTTTTAGGTTGTCACTAAGTGAAACACTAATGTAAAACACTCATGGAAAACTTGCAAATCCCCCAAATGCTTAGACCCAGAGCCACAGGGGCTGTAAGGAGATGATTACATTTGACTAATGAGAAAAGGAAAACTTGGAGAAATACAATGACTCATGCCAGTCACAGGGATTGAATGGAGAACACCTAGGATCACAACTCAGGCTTCCTGACTCCCCAGTCTAGCCTTCACTCTGATTTACATCTCCAAAGCAAACTGCACCAAGTCCCTGGCCTCTGAACTGCCTTGTCAAGACCCCTTTCATATCCATCCCATGGGACTGACCTGATGGCCATTCTCTACCCTCCAGCCTTTTCTCCCCCCACCCCTTTCCCTTCCAGGGTTACCTAAGAATCAATCTGACCTGGGAGTATTCCAGGCACTTCTTTTTTTTCTTTTTTTAAGATTTTTTTTTTAAATATGTTCTTATTTATTTTAAAGAGAGGGGGATAGAGAGATAAAACATTGATGAGCGAGAACCATCAATTGGCTGCCTCCTGTATGCCCCCTATCTGGGATTGAGCCTGAAACCCGGGTATGTGCCCTGACTGGGAATCAATCCTGTGACCTCTTAGTTCATGGTTTAATGCTCAACCACAGAGCACACTGGCCAGGCCAACCACTTC